CACCAATTCCTAAATAATAACAATAGCCAACTTGATATATTCCGTTAGAATTATTCATTTCTGCCGATTTTTTATAACATTTGAATGCCTTGTTTTCGTCCTTTTCAACACCAATTCCATATTCGTAGCAATATCCATACCAGAACATTACATCTGAATCGTTCATGTTTGCCAATTTTTGACAATCAATAAAATTCAATTTATTAAAATCATCATTATTAATATTTTTTTCTAATTGCTCTTCTGCTAAGTTTTCTCTTTCCATTTTGATTTATGAAAAAATAAAAAATAAGTAGTGTATCATATCGATGCTGTATATTATACTTACAATGGTTATGTAATAGTTATATCCTGGGCAGTTGGGTATAAGCGGAATTTTGCAGTGAAGTATAATTGACGTAGATCGGCCGCTTACGCGGCCGATCTACGTCAATTATACTTCACTGCAAAATTCCGCTTATACCCAATTGAACAGGATATAACCGATTTAGCCCCTGCCATCCTCATCCTACATTTTTCATGTACTTCGCCAAAAACCTTTCTTCTTAATATTTTTTTTATTCAAAAAAAAAAAGAAATATGGTTAGAAAATTTTGATACTTATATATATATTTTTTATTTGGTTACAATAGACTTTTTATCGTTATAGTTTTAATTTTAAATTTATTTTTAAGGAAACCGGGCTTAAACTTGCTTCTGAGCTTATCCAAATTGATTCAGCAACTCGAGCATTGAACGATTTAAAAAAATCTAGTTCAGATTTGGCAATGACTAATGGATCTTCAGCAAAATCGAATAAAAAAACAATTGAGGTCATTATTTAATTACTATAATATATATTGATTTATATTAAATATTAATGCATACTTATGTAATTTAATAATTATATTTTTCAATATTATAGAATCGATTTAAATATCAATGCCCATCTGGTGATACATTAAAACATTACAAGCAAATTGCAGTTTCAAAAAATACTCAAAAAAGTAATAAGCTTTGGATTTCATGATTTAAAGAATATATTAAGGATACACAACCTGATCTTGATGTTGACAACATTTATGACAAACAAATACTTTCTATTTTGCTTTTTGAGTTTATTGTTGCGATCAGAAAACGTGATAAGGGCGAATTTAAAGCAAATTCACTGTATAGCTGAATATGTGCAATTAATAGATATTTTATTGAAAACTTTAAAAAAATAGGTCCTTTTAGTTTACATGATGATTTTGAATTTGCTTCTTTTTATGATATTCTTGACTCAAGAATGCGAGAATTAGAGGAAATTCATAATAGAAAGTATCAAGGTGCTGAACCACTAAGTGATGATGAAATGATGCAAATATTTGAATATCAGGAACTTCGTAGAGATACACCAATTGGATTATTTTGTAGAGTTTTTTTATAGGTAGGATGTTGTGCTGCTAAATGAGGCAGATCTTATTTGGACATAATGGTATCATATTTTATAGAATGTAAAGATGGAGGATTCGATCTTTTGACGATTAATGATAAAACCTATAAGGGTGGATATTATTATCGAAACACTTCTGGCACTGGTCACAATTCAGTTTCACAAATTATACCTGCAGATGAACCAGGAGTTATCAGAGCATGTGCAGATATTAAAAAATATTTAAGTTTTCGACCAGCAAATGCAGAGCCAAATTTTTTTTTACAAATTAACAAAGATTCAGAAGGTTAGTTTAATTAATATTTTATTATATAATTTAATACTTATTTATTTATATTTTTATTATTAGAAATAAAAAAAGGAT